GTCCCAACATTTTTTTATTTATTAATCACGTCAATATGGCAACCCATCTCACAAGAACTGACTCTGGGTGATATACAAGAATTAATGAAACAACAATTTAAAAACCAATTGTTCTAAAAATGAGTATTTTTATATTGTTGCTTTATTTATTGTTAAAAAATAAAGTCAAATTAAAAATGAAAAACACTATAAAATGAATAAATACTTTATCAAGAGTTAGGATTAACTTGATGGCACCCAACTAAGTTATTAACTAATATGAATAATGAAGCTGCTAAATGAATGGCAACTATAAAGGGCATCTTTTTAAAGAGATATTTAGGCAAATAAATTTTAAAAATAAATATTTTTACCTAACAAAATGACAATTTAAACTATTGTAGTACATTATATGAAGGGTTCTTTTGGAATATATTTCAGAAAGTTCGATAGTTGAAAAAAGCACATCTGGGCTAATATTTGGGATTAGTTGATACAATTTTATTATTTTAGGAAAAATATAAGATTATAAAAGTATAATTCCTTCATATTGGAATCTTTTGGTCATTTCCTTTTAAAGAAGATACTGGAGAGCTGAAAAAAAGAAAAAAAAAAAGGGGGGGGGACATAATTATCACTAAGAAGGTGAACCTGACCTCCAGGAAAATCCTGTAGGATTTGGGAATGCTTAGTGCTGGAAAATGAAATACTAAAGATACAAACAGAGTAGAAGCTTATAAAATTTGCAGCTGTGGAATGACAGGTTTTTTCTTCTTCTCTAATACATAGAGTCATCCAACAAGACTGAGTCAAAATAGTTTCAAGTTAGACCAAAAACAACAACAAACAAAATCTTCATATAACACGCAAGTTGGGTCATGATAACAGGTAATGGCAATGCAACCCTTAGCTTTAAAATAGGGATCAGAAAAAATGTATATAAGGTAAGGCTGTACTCTGCCCTCTGTATTTTATTATTAGACTTCTACGCTGCCCATCTCACCAAGGCAATAATAATATCACAGCAATATGCCATTGAAACCAGTTACTGGGAAACACAGAAGAAGCTATTATGTTTACGAGTCACTTGTGAGCAAGGTAGTAGAGGCATTGTAATAACTATGAGAGGAACATATCAAATAGTACTTCATGAGTTATTTTCAACTTTGGAACCTTAAAAATTCAACTATTAATGTATTGATTCCAGGGTAGTTTCGTAAGCACACATCTACACAGCTTTATAATTTTACAAAAGGAGGAGACCCTTTTGAGAAAAAAAAATCCAGCCTGATGTAGTTAAGCATTGGGCTCCCCAGACCAGCAGAGATCAATGTACTAATCTACTAGAATGTACAGCTTCCCAACATATATTAGTCTTTTGTTGCAGCTCTTCATTTGAACTCTCAATATACATGTGTTTTAGAAAATTAAAACAGAAAATGGGAAAGGTTTCTTCCTTTTAGTCCATTTTGCTAATTAATACGTCAAAGATCGTAAAGAAGAACTCATCAGCTTTTCTCCACTACTGCATCACTTTAAAGAGCTGTGTCAGCAGAGACTTTAGCAGACAGTCAATACATATTAAGACGAGTTCCAAGCCTTAAATAATAAGAAAGAACCATATGAAAAATGAAAATAAAGCAAATAGCTAGAGGCTAATGGAATCCCATTTGTGACTTTGCATAAAAGGGAGGAAAGGGCAGCATTTTTCCAAAACAAACAATAGCTTGTACATAAATCCTTCCAATCTATGCTATTATAGCCACAGTAACACACAATAGCTATATATTTACAGCAAGTTAAGGCAGGCATTTTTGTGGCCAAATCTGAGTTGAAACCTGGCTTATTGAAACACACTCGGCAGAATAGCTGTGAGAAGCAGAGAGTGTTCGAGTGTTTCTGAGATTATATAGGAACCCTGGTGTAGTTGCCTCCCATTGGATGTATTGTCTGAAAGTGTAAAGGGCTGGGAATGGATGCTGATGGGAAAAAATAAATACTTTTGTGTACCCTGTCATTTATTTCACTGTGATTTTACATTCACTAGGTGGTCAAGATTAAACCATTCCCTGGTTGGTTTATGCTCTATCAGGCTACTATAGAGGATCAGATTTATTTATTACATTTATATGCTGCCCATCTCATTCTTCAAAGCAGTTTTTTGGAGCTATAGAGCTTCTTGGCCAGATCTGCTGGTATATCAGCTCCATTTCCTCCCTTAACTGACATCTGGTAGCTGGGAGTTCATCCCTTTTTGTACAGGGAGAAATGAGAAATTCTGGCAAGCCCACTCCATTTGTCTCTCCCATTTCTCAGCTATTCCCAAGCTAAATGGGCAATGGATAACTTTATAACTTTAAAAACTAAGACTTGGCTTTACTAAGGATCCATTTCTGGCTGTATGTAACATTTACAAGCAACTGTGGAAGTTATTTTTTTAGCTTTAAGTCAAATCTTGGCCAAGCCAAGACCACAGCAATTCCACTTTAGATCACCATTCTTTTTTTTTTTTTTTTTCAATTATTAGCAATAGCAATAGCTAGTTCAGAATTCAGAATCTCTGTGGGGTTTTTATTTTTCTTGAGTATTGTGTTAAAAACAGTGCTAAATTAGATCTTGGGAAAAAAAAGTTAAGTTAGCCTTTTGCTTGGGATGATGACACGGGAAAACTGAAATAGCAGCGGAGTAGTGTAAAGTAAGAGATCAGAGATAGGAACAGCAGCATTATCTATTTCTGTCTCTCTTGTTTATCTATCTTGCATATGCAATCACCTGTGTGTATATCATATGCCTCTAAAGACCATAGCTGGACTCTGGTTGAAGTTTGCCTGTAATGGCATAAAAGAGACCCAGGGCCTCACCCCATAGATCAGGTATGGAAATTGGAAATGAGAGCTTTTTGCATTGAAAACAATTCCTTGCCAACTATATGACTGCAGTGGGCCTCATTCCAACATGGACTGACAGGAAGGGCTCCCATTTATTTTTTGGCAAACAAAATGCAGCTGCTATGTTTGCAAACCTTCTCCTGAATAGCAGGGCGCAATTTCCAACTGATGAGTCACTTTTTGGAAAGATTTTCAGCTTGAGATTTAGCAGGGGTTTCAGAGAGGAGGATGAAAAACAAGACCAGGTGAGACCCTCAGTTTCAAATAAAAAAAAAATAACTTTTTGTACACTGAAGGCAAAGGAAAGAAATACAGGGTAGGAGAAATTAAAAAGATTACACTCTTCTACCATGGAAATGAAAATTGCCATATGCCAAAAGGATTGACTAAAAGTATCTCACTAAAAATGTCAATGATACAGTGCAGTTACTTTGTTTAAATAAAGCTTTATTATACACAATATATTATCACCATGATTATTAAAGCAGACAATGTAGCTTTCATTTTTTAATTTCGCAAAACATATAACAAAGTTTTAAAAGAAGGATATGGTTTCTAAGCTAAATACAAAAGGCATTAAAATATTTATCTATGAGATTTTCACTGTGGTATTAATAATCTAAAGCTTTTTACTCTAAAAGAAATTAAATAGTTTTCTAAACTTATGCTAGAATACACTGAATTTAGTTTCTACTAATATGTGAACTTTTTCCCCCAGATACAAGGTATTCTATTTATGAGAAAGTTTCTGCATAAAAGGATTACTCTGATAGGGATGCGAAATAGAATTTAACAACCTAGGTCATGCTATTAATTAGAATTCAATAGATAATAATTAAAGATTTTCACATTTGTAATATTTTGGGATAAATGAAGTAAACAACTTTCTCAGAGAGAACAATTTGCAATTCTAGAGAAGGAAAACTAAACAGTTTTCAACATTTGTAACAGTCATCCCATAATTCAAATAGGAACATCTTCCAAAATTATGCTACAATAGCTAAAAGGCTTTCAAATGCTTTCCCTTAGCCCAGGGGTAGGCAACCTTGGCTCTTTTATGACTTGTGGACTTCAATTCCTGAGCCAGTACCCCTGCCCTAGCCAAAGCAGTATTTACTGCTACTGATCCAGAATGTGGGTCAAGAGCAATTGAAGCTTTGGTCACAACATTTTAACCATATTCTTTCAGTCTAGAACTTGGAGTGACAATCATCACAAAATCCCTAAATAACTCAGATACTTAAAAAAACAATCTTCTATTTTTCAGATCAGATGGAAATCCATTGTGTGATAGCTGCTGTGAGGTAAGGCTACCCAAGTTTTATTTAGGAACCAGCCTATGTTTGGAACTGAATTTCTGAAGCAAAGAACTGGGTCTTAGTCTAGAAATAGAATCAAGTTTATATAATGCGATACAAAGGGGAGTGACATAAACTTACTCAAGACTGCCAACAGCATGTTACTTAATCTTGGAAGGTGAAGATAAAGATGCAACTCCATGAGTTTGGAATTGCAGGAAAAACTATATTCTACATAGCTGGAGTGAATTAGACCAGAGGTCCCCAACCTTTTGGGCATCGGGGACCGGTTCCATGGAGAAAGGTTTTTCCATGGACTGGAGAGTGTGTGATTTTATGTGCTGCCTGCATCCTATGGATGAGGCTTTGCTTGTTTGTGCAGACCGGTTGCTGGCATGCCGCGGCCCGGTACTGGTCCACGGACCAGGGGTTGGGAACCCCTGAACTAGATCAATCAACTGACTCATATTGACAAACGAAAACACTTATTAAAATAATACATTAAAAATACTTAAATAACAACAAAAGCAATGAGCTCCTAATGAAACTCCTTACCACTTTCACCATGATTTTCCTTTCCTCCCTAGTCTCCTTTTAAATGGCTTTTTTTAGCTATAACTGTTTACTTGGCACCCATAATTGTTTTTGATTAAAAAGCCATGCTACTGTTGCTTTTTGCAAATTATTCAATTTTCAGTCAATATCCCAGAAACAAAAAAGCTTAATTTTCCATTACAGATTAGAGATTCATCTTGAATAGGATTTAAGTGACTCTCTCTATTTTATATAATATTTTAATTGCAAAATATGATAAAACTAGGGGAAAAAATCTTACCTAGTTTCTGAGCAGTCAATAAGGCAACTTTACTTTCATCTGCCACTAGAGAAAAGGAAGGAAAAGAAAAATACATACAAATCAGATTCAGCCCTGAATAAAGAAACCATATACCATGAGTAACACCCCGGACTATATTGCAAAGCATATGCACTTATTTTTGCAAAGTTTTTTATTTTTGGTGCCTAATTCATAAGCCATAAATAAATATAAAGTATAAACACATTTAAAACCCTAATTAAAGTTAAAAGTACCCATGGATTATTAAAGTATTTTTAAACAAAGGCGATATTTCAATCACACCACATATTTTTCCAGCCAATTTCAGTGGAAGGCAGCTTGGACTTTTGTACAGAGGTAATTCCAGTACACAAAAATGGAAGCATAATAAAATGCACTTCTGATATAATATACTTCACTCTTAAATGTAAAAAAAATCCACAATTTTTTCATGTTTTTGCCAATAGCATTTTTAGCCAATGTTTCTCTTGTAGTTTAATCTTATGACTGATTTTTGTTGCTGTATAGCCACAACTGGCAGTATGAAAAGGTCTCAATCCTTAAAAACTCCTGTGGCTCCAATCGAATTGAATGCCCCTTCTCCTATATACACAAACGTCTCCTATTCACATTTGGAGGAAGGCTTCCATTGGCAAGAAATTCTAGAGCAATTCCACAAGGAAAACCCACTGTCTCCAAACAGTTTTGATGCCTTAAATTAACATGAAAATGATTAATATTCAGGTAAAATAACGAGGAGACCTGGGTTGAAATCTATTTTAGCATAGTCAGTCAAATCTCCAAAAATATGCCACCAGCAGGCATCCCCAAACAAAAAGTTTTTAGTATGGAAAATTTGGCAAATCAAGATACATTCATTACTGTCAAGGTGGTCTCTGTATTGCCCCCTCTGTTTCATAGTTTTTTTTTCTTTTTGCAGAGAAAGATTGGAAAACTAAATTTATATGAGCTCTAATATAATAGATCTGGACAATGCAAAATCTCTCCACTCCTTTCCCAAATGTCTCAATAAAATTTGAAATATTTTCCATCTGTATAAAGCCTACCAAAAACACTTCACAGAGAGCAAATTAATCAGTTAAGGTCATGTTTCCACAACCCCCCAAAACTTTCATGCTTTTAAGGATCTAAATAAATTACTTTCCCTGATCTAAACATATTTTAGTCAGGGGGAAAATCAGTTGCTAGCTTTCTAGATGGATATTATCCTTACACAGCCCTTTCCACATAATAAAGATATAGTGCCATCAATTAATTTTAAGTCAATGATTGTGCCAATAACATTACTTCAGCAGCTCTTATTTCTGCATTGCAGTGTTCCCACATCTAAGGATGGATGGAGAACATATCAAATGGTTCAGAGGCATCCTTTTGCAAACATTTTAGCTGTTTTGTTTTTAATGGAAACTCGTTCATGTTACTTTCTCCAAAAAATGAACTCATTTTGAAGACCTCAACAAAACTGACAGATAAAATTCTTATTTCAAGCAAAGTTCAATAGATGAAATTGGTGAATTGTTGTTTATTTCAACTGCTCTTACCAACATTAGAACCAGCATCAAGTCATGATTTGATAGCCTGGTACTTTAAATGACTCATCATTAGAACCACTGCCCAGAATTTCAGAAGCTTTGAGCAACATGTTTGTATGTATTGTGTGTGATTATGCAGGATGAATAGCAACAACTATTTGATACTGTATTGCATACTTCTTTTCTTCCCTTCTCTTTACAATAGAACTCAAGAAATTAACTTATTCTGAACTCTCTGGAATAGCTATTATATTCTTTTTAAAGTACAAAACAAGGTTATTTGAATGCTATATGTATGACTGAAAAGTAACATTTTCTCTCTCTCTCTGTCAAATCTCCTGAATACAGTTAAATGTCTTTGGATCTAAGTACCTGCAAATCTTTTCCCAAACCATCTAAAATAATATATCAGCCCTTGGCAGAAATCTATTCTGAAGCAGGTAATAAAGAGTTGGGATAAAATTCTTTCTTCTAGAGGCATACAGCAAAATCAAAATGTAAACAAATCTTCACAATGTTATAATTCATAACACTATATTTTGCCAGGACTATCTCACTTCACACATAGTATTGTTATTATCAGGACAATACAAAATTTCTTTTTCCTTAATAACACCTCTGCTTTTCATTCCTAAGTAATGCACAACTAATGAAAGCTAGCATATGGCTTCCTTTATACTTTCGTTGCTGCATGTCTTTCTCATACACTAAATGAAGCACATTAATCCCCTCACAATGAAATATCGCCAAACATTAATAATCCACATTTTAATGGAACCTGTAATAGCCATTATCACTTCTACTCAGTTTCCAGGTCATAATGATCAGTATTCTATTATAGAAAAATTACCAGGAAAGACTGTCCTTAGCAGAGAGCCACAGAATGGAAGCAATCTTGGAAACAATCTGTCCAGTATAGGACAGGTTACTACAGCAGCCCTGACAAATAGACATCCAATGAGCCTCTGCTTAAAGGCCTCCTGTGCAGGAGCTTCCACCACCTTTCAGGCTACTTTGATCTATTGTTAAACAGTTCTTATCATTAGGAAACATTTCTCATATCTAAACAAAATCTACTTCCTTTCGGCTTAAAACCGTTGTAGGCAGAAACTCTGAACTGAAGAGTGAATAGAGGTTGTAGAAGGATGCTACAAACAACAAAAAGGGGCTCTTCAGCTACATTCAAGAGTGAATATGGCAAAAGGAAATATCATCTTTTGGTGTCGACAAACTCCATTTTGCATGATCAAATGCAGCATCTGAGTACAACTGGGCTGGATTTACTGGGTTTTGCCATCTTTGGCTTTCCATGCAGGTGCTTGCCATCTGTGCTGAAGTGGAATGCGATGCAGGCAACAGTGTCAGGTGCTTTTTGTAGGATATGACCATATCATTGTAGGTGTTTCACCCACATCTTCTTAAATATTGATGCAATGCCCATTTGCTACTGTACTGTATCGTTGCTGACATGATCAGGAAGAGAAACACCTAACGATCAACGAAACATGCACATCTCTGTGGCATGTAAAGAGTACTCTGTGCATTTCGTGTTGGCAAGCACTCAACACCCTATAAAGTTATTGCATGTACCATTTTTTATACACCTTTTATTTTAGATCGATCGGCATGGATTGATTGCAGAGCACTTCAGTGATCTTCTATCGTAGCCATGTTTTGTTCTAATGATGAAGTGCATACAAGAGTGAACAAAGCAAAAGGATATGTGGCAAATGATAAAATAATCATGGGATTATTCAACTCCTGTCATTGTTTAGTATTGTTTAAATGTGTCCCACTAAAAAATTTTGAACCATAGGACGTTTGATTAAAATGTGATCTGGAAGTACATACTGAACTTGAATGAATACAACCCCCCCCCCCAAGCCATAGGAATTGCATCCGGGTGTCCTGAAAGAAATTGCTAATAGTCTTGCCAAATTTTATGTTTCAGATAATTGGAGGAGGAGGATCATTCTTTTATTCAGAAGAGGGAAAAAGGAAGATCCAGGAGCTAGAGACCAGACCATATAACACTGAAACCATAAAGAGGTTAATCTGTCAGCATTTTAAAACAATAACAGTGACAGTGAGAACAATTAATCAGTGGAAGATCCTGCCTCCAGAAGTGGTAAATGCTCCAACACTGGAAGTTTTTAAGAAGAGACTGGACAGCAATTTGTCCGAAATGGTATAGGGTTTCCTGCCTGAGCAGGGGGTTGGACTAGATGACCTCCGTCCCTTCCAACTTTACTACTACTACTACTACTATTTATTTATTTATTTATTTATTTATTTATTTTTATTTTTAAAATTTGTAAGCTGCCCCACTCCCGAAGGACTCTGGGCGGCTAACAATAAAAAACACATAAAACATAACAAAACAATACAAAAACAATCATCCAGGGGTAAGGTTTTATAAACCCCAGGCCTGCCGGAAAAGCCAGGTCTTAAGTAGCTTACGGAAGACCAACAGGGTGGGGGCGGTCCTAATCTCCGGGGGGAGCTGATTCCAAAGCGTGGGCGCCATCACAGAGAAGGCCCTCCTCCGTGGCCCCGCCAAATGGCACTGCTTGGCCGACGGGGCCTGATGGAGGCCCAGCAGTGGGATCTAACCGGACGTAGGGAACTATGAGGTAGTAGGCGGTCTCGCAAATAGCCTGGCCCTGAGCCATATAGGGCTTTAAAGGTAATGACCAACACCTTGAATTGGACCCGGAGACCAATAGGCAACCAGTGCAGCTCACGGAGGATAGGTGTAACATGGGTGTATCGAGGAGCACCCACTATCACTCGCATGGCTGCATTCTGGACCAACTGTAGTCTCCAAATACTTTTCAAGGGTGGCCCCATGTAGAGCGCGTTGCAGTAGTCCAAACGTGAGGTGACAAGGGCGTGAGTGACTGTATGGAGAGCCTCCCGGTTCAGATAGGGTCGCAATTGGTGCAACAGGCGAACTTGTGCAAAGGTCCTCCCAACCACAGCCGTCAATTGATGTTCCAAATTCAGCTGTGGATCAAGGAGGACACCCAAGTTGCGAACCCGCTCCAAAGAGGGTATATTTTCCCCCGCAAGAGTCAACACTGGACAGTCGACATGATTCTTGGGAGGCAATATCCAAAGCCACTCGGTCTTGTCAGGATTGAGCCTGAGTCTGTTAACCCCCATCCAGACCCTCACGGCTTCGAGGCAATGGCCCATCACATTATTATTATTATTATTATTATTATTATTATTATTATTATTATATGAATTACCAGATGTCATTAAATATTTGCCAAGAACATATGTTGCCAGGCTAAACTTCATTTCCTTAACAAATTGGAGAAATGCTGTAGAACTATTTAGCAAAGCATTTGACAGAATACCCTTGGACTTTATGTCTGATACACAGTTAAATGGTGGATTGAAATGACAATAATATAGTTGGTTTGAAAACTGTATTCAAAGAATGCTCATCAACATTTTTTCATCAAACTAAAGAGAGCCACTGAG